AATGGGAGGTGGTGAGTGGTTGACTTTGCATCACTTAGTTATGTTTTTTTATTCACTACAAAACTTTTATGTCAACCCATAGGTATTTTTCCCATGGCTTCACCCCAGTGTGGGCTTCACTGCTGCCTAGGACCAGCCCACCACACTCCTTCTTTCACAGCTCACTCCCCAGTATCAGCAGCTTCTTGTGGAACATAATTGATCCTGTAATTAAGTCAGCATTTTGCCCCAGGGAGGAGTAAAGTGCATGAGAGAGGGAGATGGTATACAGAGCTCTTTCTCCATCATGTCAAGAAAGGTCCAACAAAAACCAGCTTAATAAAATAGCCATTTTAGTTAGATGGAATAAAAAGAGGAATCTGTCCCTTCTGATGTTGAGCACCATGCATTGGATCAGTGATAAATGGACTCTGCATGGTACTTTCCCATGGCACACTCTGCAGATCTCATCTGTGGAGACATTCCTCTATTACATGTCTTCTTAAGAGAAAGCAGCCCTGCTCCTGAAGGTTGTTAAGGTGAGAACTTCTGGGTGCATTGTTGGACATGGGCAAGGATATGCAGGTGGATTGGGAGCTGTCTATGGACTCCTCTGATGCAGCCAACTGCTGAGGTGACCTTGATGCCATGGGACAAACCAAAGGCATCCCAAGAGCAGGTGGGGAAGAAATAATTGCAGCCAGCTGGACCTGTTTGACAGAAGAGCAGGCTGTGGGTTAAGCAGTCCTGGTTCAACTTCTTACCTGAGTAAGCAGCTACACAGGTAAAAAGTTGAACCAGGACTGCTATTTGTTTATTTCCCCACTCTGAACTTTGCCCATTGTTTACAAAGCTGAAATGGTTTGAAGACAGCTTCATGTATCTCTGCCAGCTGTCAGGCTGATTCCTGCTCTGACATGTTTGCTTTAGTGCTTTTTCTCCTTTTGTCTGTGGAGATGGTAGCAGTCCAAGTACAGAGAGGAGTCTAATCATCAACCTCCATGGTCGTGGCTCCCGCTCCCCAGTGCAAAGCATGTGACTACTGCCCAGGGAAGGGCTTGTAGGCTTGGGCATGTGTGTCAGAGCTCCCCACTGGAAGTGCAGAGGGTAGTTGCTCTGCAGGAAGGTGGGTGTTCCACTCATGCTGATATTCACTGCTCTGTTTGCAAAGACCAGCTCAGAAGGAGAAAGGAAGAGTGGTGAAAATGTAAAATAGAACTGTATCTCCTATTAATGCTAGCTTGATTCTGCCCATCAGCTGCCAAAACAGGGGCTCACCAGTGCCAGGAGGGGCCAGGAGGCAGCTTCTGCCACCAGCTGCAGCAGGGTTGCTTTAAAAAAAATCAAAAAATGGAGGACAGCTGATTTAGTGATAATACATTATGGTAGGAATGGCCAATTTCAAGACACTTAAGACCCATTTACTTGTTTTATGAACAGTACAGTGAATATTTCTATGTCCCCATGGCTATAGTTGTAGAATGAGATATATAATGTGATAATTGAAGGAAATTTGGCTACCATAGGGATTCACTTTATCCTTTTACTGTGCAATGTGTTCAAAAAGTAACTTAGAGCTTATCTACACTTTAGCAGGGTCTTGCAGGGGCTTCATATGCTTGCTTCTGTGCAACAGCATTTCTCTAATGTAGAATATAAAATAATTTTATTACTCATCTTTCAAAATCAATTGACAGAACAACAGACTGGTTGGGAGACTTGCAGCAATCTGCTATTTTTGCTGCTGCAGTAAAAACAAGTACTAACAGCTGTCCTCCTCCTCCTCCTGTAAAAAACTGCAAATAGATGACTAAGGTTTGTCATGGAACTGGTCCATTGGGTGGTTTATTCCTGTGTCCTGTTGGTCCCAGTGTTGTCCTGGTAGAAATAAGGCCATATGGAGCCAAGTGTAGAAATGAGGCTCTACTTACTTTTTTAAAGTCAGTGGACCTATTTGCAAAAACTAAACCTTATATAGTAATTTTTACTACTTCTACCAACATTAAAGTTAAAATCCCTTTGAAAACATCCCATGTCTGCTCACCATTTTCAGCTTGCTTAAACCACATCCAAAGATATTACAGGAACATTTCTTATCAGATTTCTTAATTTTCAGCTTGCTTAAACCACATCCAAAGATATTACAGGAACATTTCTTATCAGATTTCTTAATCTAAAATAAATCAAAGTTCTCATGATGTTTGGAGGTTTGGGGACTACATTGTTACCAAAATGTTAACTGCTAGAAGCTAGTTCATAACTAGGTGGCTAGAGCTGCTCACATAATCAATTTCAATTCTCCTACAGCAGATGTCCTAAAAAGATTAATTTGGTCTTCAGAGATCTGGTGTGAAACTTTGTCTGCTTCTGTTTTCTGAATGGGTAATGTACTTCTAGCAAATAGAGGGTTCTTCTCCTGGTGGGGGAATTTTGCCATTCTGTGTGAAAAAATAAATACACCTGTTCTTTTTCTCCTCACTTGAAAGAGAGGATTGCTGTCTGGCAGTGAAGCAGTACTATTTCTAGGGTAAGCTCTGCTTTTACATCAAGAGGGTGGTCCTTCTGAGCTCCCTCTCAGTTCCTGTCTCCCAAAGAAAGAAATCTGCTTTCATATGAAGCCTCTCAAAGCTCATTCTTGTGTGACTGCACTCAGACCTGCAGGTTGTGGAACTTTTTCTTGATGATGCAAGACTCTCTCCAATCACCTGTTATCACCTCAGGTTTATGTCTTCCAGCACACTCTCCTCCTGGAGTCTTGCTGGGTTTGCTGTGGTTGGGTGCTCCTTTGCCAGGCAGGATGCTACGCTGGCGGCAGCAAGCACCTCAGGATGGCACCACTACAAAAAAAACCCGAGGCTGGCTTTTTAGATATACTGAGACCTGAAGGGTCCCTTCCTGAATGCTGGCAGCTGTTCAGCCTGAGGAGTTCAGCCAGCCTGTCATTCCTACTCAGTGTCTGGTGTCACTGGTCAGTGGATTAACTCCTGAACAACTGGGATGATTTTAGTGACCGGAACTGAATTGTGTTCACACAGCAACGTGCTGTAATTCACAGTTTTTACCCGTACACTTTCAAGTAAGGGAAAACAACCTAAGTTTAGGCAGTTGTCTGTTTCCAGTTGAGTATTTTAGAATCTGCATATTGTGCACAATTTGTTATTGAATAGACTTAAGAGCATCCTGGAATAGTTCTGGAAGCTAACCTGGAGATCTGGTGGCAGCTTGGGTAGTTTCTTCTACTTAGGTAACCATTACTTCAAAATACCTGTTTTCTCAAGACAACTTCTTCATGATTTCTCAAAGTACTTGTATTTACATGAATAAAGATTGGCTTTCTAATCTGAGCTACTCCTACTTTCAACTTGAAAGTTTGTTTAGGCCATTGTGCTTAAGGAAAAATAATGTGCTAAGGGCTCCAAGGAAAGCATGTAAAGAAGTTGGCATAAGTGCCTAATGATAATGTGCAAGTGATACATGAAATATGAGCCATTAAACAATAAAATGTTTTAAATAATGCAGTTTATACATAACTTGATTGTTATAGTCTCTCTGCATGAGTCAGATGCGATGACATCAGGAACTTCAGGATCCCCATCAAAAAATCAGAGTTCAGAACATCTGCTATGTATTTTTAACTTTAGCAATCAAACTATCAACTCTGTGTAATGGAATAGAGCTTTGTTCAAGTAGCAGAGCTGCTACTTCCTTGTAGGAAAGCTAAGTCTCAATGTTATCACTGGTCACCTGATCTACATAGGAGGCTGTTTTGGATATTTGTGTGATAGTACTCCAAGAATGTCTTTGATAAATACATTCTGTGGTAATGTGCAGGTTCATGTGCTGCGCATATGCTGCAGGAATTGCCCAGCGGAAGAAATGCTTGCAGTTGAGCAAGGTGCTGCTATGCAGGAAGTAAACAAAAGGCTTCTGAAATCCTGAAAAAGACATTTCTATTTTTAATTCAGCTCCTTTTCCCCTTTAAAAGTCACCAAAAAAAAAACCAAACAACTTTTGCAGTTGCTGCTCTAGGACACAAAATCATACATCACTCAGATGCAGGAAAACCCATCTCATTTCCTACCTGTTGGATGAGCAGCAGAGGATGAGCAGCCTTCCTGCTACTAACAAGGTAGAAGAAAGCTTGTTTGGGGTAGTATTATGAGGAGCCCAAGGAACAAGCTTTGAGGAGAGCTCTGCAGCCACTTGGACGCATGGTGATGATCCATCCTTTTAAGTGTGGCTGAAGGAGGTGTATGCACTGTGCATGCTGTCATTCTCCACACAACACCTGTGTGCAGCACTTGTCCTCTCCTGGCCCAGTGCAAGCAGCAGTAGAGGCTCCCTGGTTACTTTGGATCTGCCCTAATTTGGGTAGAAGTTGCACACTTTCCCTCCCCAGCCACTGCAATTCAGGGAGCCACAGAAATCACAGAATCATAGAATGGTTTGGGTTGGAGGGGACCTTAAAGACCATCTAGTTCCAATCTCGCTGCCATGAACACCTTTCATTAGGCCACGTTGCTCAGAGCCCCAATGCAGCCTGGCCTGGAACATTCGCAGGGATGGAACAGCCACAGCTTCTCTGAGCAGCCTGTTCCAGTGCCTCACCACCCTCAAAGTAAAGACTTTCTTCCTAGCATCTAATCTAAATCTACTCCCTTTCAGTTTAAAGCCATTCCCCCTTGTCCACGAGGCACGATGGAATTTTCCGTAACTCCTGGGGAGCAGGACCCGGGGCGGTGGCTCAGCGTAGCCCGATGAGGAGAAGGCGCCCAGGTGGGCCCGGGGGAGCCGAGCCCCCTCCGGCGCCAGCCTCCCACGGTACCCCGATGCTGCCCGCCGTATCCCGGTACCGCGGGGGCAGGGGAGGAGGGCCCAGGCCCGGTGCCGCCGCTCCCCGCCGGAGGAAGGGGCGGCCCCGGCGCTCATTGGCGGAGGCGGGGCCGCTCCCGGTGCGTCACGGGCCGCCCCGGCCGCCGCTACCCGCCCGCCCGCGGAGCGGCGTCGGGGGATGGAGGCGGCGGTGGCCGGAGCTTGGAGAGCAGGTGCGGGGCGGGTGGCCGGCCGTGCCTGCCCGCGGGGCGGGGAGAGCGCGGGCGGGCGAGGGAGGCGGAGGAGCCCCCTCGGAGACACGACCCGGGGGCCGGGCGGGAGTGGCGGCGGAGCCGCGTGTCCGCGCCCTGCCCGGCCGCTCTCAGCGATGGAGCGGCGCGACTGCCGTGCCGGGGCTGGGCTTCCCCTGTGGAGCGCCGGGCTGGGGTTGGGGTCGGGGCTGAGACTGTAGCGGGGGCGGCCCCGACCCGCCCGCGGCAGGGCGGTGGTCTGGGCTCGCCAGCGCCCGGCTGGCAGCGGCCGGAGCCGCCCTCGGCAGAGCCAGGCTCACGCCCCATCTGTTTCCCCAGGTCCGGGCCCCGCGGGAGAGGGCGCAGTCATGGTGCCGCATCCCGGGCAGGAGCCCGCCCGTGGCTAGAGCCAGCCCCAGCCGGAGAGCTGCGACGGGGCACCCTCAGCCTGAGGGCATCCCTCAGCCTGAGCGCCTCCCCGCGCGCCCCCGGCATGGAGCCGGGCGGCCTGGAGTGGCTGCTGGTGCCCATGCAGCAGCTGGTGTCCTGGGGCGCCGCGGGGGCCATGGTGTTCGGCGGCGTTGTGCCCTACATCCCCCAGTACCGGGACATTCGGCGCACCCAGAACGCGGAGGGCTTCTCCACCTACGTCTGCCTGGTGTTGCTGGTCGCAAACATTCTGCGCATACTTTTTTGGTAAGTTGGCTGTGTTTCTGCTCAGTTCTGAAGGTTCCTGATTGTTTGCCAGGTGTAAAGCTTCGATTGGAATGTTTGAAGAAATAAAGTTTTACAGGCGTTTTTCCTTCTCTTGAAGATATAAATGCTGTCTTTCCATCAGTGTGTGTCTATTAAGTCGAATGAACTGGGCTGGGGAGCATGGTTTGTTTCCCTTGCCAGATCTCATTATCAGCACTCTGATTTCCAAGATGAAACTTTTTAACTTGTTGGTAAAGAGGTTTATGCTAAGTCAGGTCTTTTTTCTTGCCGACTGTATTTTGCATTTCTCATATTCACTATATCCATTTTCAGAGTGAAAGCCTCGGTATCACACACTTACTCGAGTGTCTAGTTGGCATTAGCGTCACTGGAACACTTGCCATATATTCTTGCATTTTCCCAGGATGCTAGCTGGCTTCAGAGGGGATTCACTTGTAGATCTTCATGCACAACTACAGATGAAAATTTTCTTTCATGAATAAGCAAGGAAAAGGTGTGCTGCCTTTCAAAAGCAAATTTCTTTTGCTTTCAACACCAGTTTCAATACTTAAGAGCAAGTTTGTTTCCATATTTTAGTGTTGTGCTGCCGGACAAAGAAAATGTTATTACGGTGTGATTTCTGTGAATCAATGTTATAAATATCTTGCTCATTATTTCTGATTATACAGGTGCTACACCACTGAGAATGTACTTGGGAAACCAAACATGAAATGGTCTGGGCAGTTACTGCAACTAAGGACAGTTTTTCTATGATTCTGTTTTGACTACAAAGTAGTGCTTTTTAATCCATAAAGAACTGATAGGTAACAAGGCTGCATCCATTTGTTGGTTTTCAGTTTCTTTTTAAAGAAACCTCTTCTGACTCTGTATAATGGCTTCCTGGGTTCTGCTACAGCAAAATGCAACATGTAAGTGCTGTGCTGGAGTGGAAAGCAGGACACCCTTTCTTGGCACCACAAGCTGGCAGTCAAACAGAGGAGTCATCGCTGGAACAGAGCTACTTGTTGCGTTGGAACTGTGTTTTCCTGGGGAGAAGTATATGGAGAAAGCAGAGAGCAGGAGGGAAGCAGAGGAACTGGCAGGAGGAGGAGAAGCAAAGAGCTTGAGCTGACAGTGTTAGAAAGAGAAATAGTCTTAATTTTTGGTTGTACTGGAAACAGTCAAAATACAGAAATGGCTTACACCTGAATGGAGATGCTGGCAGTTTCTAGGTAACTCAGGTGAGTGAATCTGTTTAGTGAGACTCAGACTATGGAAAAACTGAAAGATCTTTAATTTAAATTGATTTTAAGTACATCTAGTTAAGAGATGTGTGAAAGTATAAATACTGCAAGCAGTGAAAAGTTATAATTTATATCAATATTGAAAGATTTGTCAATACCTCAAAAGAGAGAATGCAGTTATATTGGTAGGAGTATGTATGAATAGTTGAGCCACATGATAGTATCACTCCCTGACATGTATAAGCACTGTGTAACTTCTGGTCACCTTGGAGCTTAGCATGGAATGGCTTCACACAGGAGCCTGCAGAAACCTTTCTGTCTGTACTTGCAATGAATTGTCTCTCTCTAGTTCTGCTGAACTAAAAGACAAAAGAGTACTTGCATAATGATAATTCAGTCTTCACAGGAGAGAATATTTTGCTTGTCTGCCTAAAAAATTAGGCATCCCTGGTAGTTAATTATAAGCACCAGTAAGTCATGAAAACGGCATTGAGGGTGGATGTTATCCTTGGGTATCTGGATGATTAAAGGAAGATCACAGAGCAAGAGCCTGTGATTCCTGTGAACACTGTGAAAATGCACCCATTGGCAATTCAATTTTTGCATTATTTGGTTAATGTCACTTATGGCCAATGCATTATCTGTGACACAGTGCTCTCAATAATTACATAAATGGCAGAATGATTTTAATTGTATATGTAATATTTCTTGGAGGAAATTAGAAAGTTTTTATTTATTTTGTTTTAAATTTATTAAATAATTTAGTCCATTCTGGTGCCAGGACAGAACTGTTCCTACAAGTAATTTTGTTCTGTGTATAATCTATTTCCCCAAGTACCACTTGATGTCTCCTTCCCTTTAGCAAATCCAGTATTAATCCAAGTCTCTCTTCTGAAAACTCTACTGCCATAAAGCTTCTGATTTCATTTGGTTTCAGTTCATTACCTGTGATTATTAAGCACGTGGTTTGAGCCAGAGTAATTTTTTCTGGACTTCCTCTCCTCCCTGATCCAAAAATAAGTACTTAAATTGTTAGGCCTTAAAAACTTTCAAGTTTTAATAGTGTTGCTTTTCAGGACTTAATTTTTTCTGAGAATGGCTGATGTTTTTATTGTTATTTTGCGTGTTTGTTTTGTTTTTAACGTCAAAGACACTTCTATCATTTGTGTCTGTTGTTACTTCCAGGTTTTCCCTGAAATTTCATGTATTGAATTTGTGGCTCACAAGGACGGACTGTTCCTGCCTGTTATACCTTTTATGCCTCTGTATATTTGCTCTTGGGTAGTGCTGGTGTTTCTGTATTTGTGTTACTCATAACAGACCCAGTCCTCCCACCTTTCCCTTATGGCTTTATTACTCTTCCTTCTTCTCAGCTATGGGGACAATTCCCTCACATTCTCATTGTGGAATGATGGATTCCACAGGTTCCTGTAACTGTACTTGGTTAATTCAGAGGTTATCCTTTTTTGGTTTAATGCCTGGTTTTGTTGTGGTTTAAGTTTGACCTTTCATCTCCCCTCCAAATAGAGTATTTGCTTCCTAATCTTCTTGGCATGTTTTATGTGTCAATAGAGTTTCAGCTGGTGAATTGCACTGTGACAGTAGCCAATGAGCAAAGTACTACTGAGATCAAGGATAACAATCCTGTTTCCAGTTACCTGTTCTCACCAATTCTGTTTCTCTGATTAGACTGTCTTTAGTGGTAAGCCATCTTTTGAAGTCAAGAGGACTCAGTGGAGGCCTCTCTTCCTTGTCATTCTTACATCTAATCACCTAATTTCAAGGTGTTCCCAAAGAACTTTTAGTTTGCTAGTGATGACAATAGCACAGTATCCATTTTTCATGCTTCTCTTTCACACAGTGTCTCAAAATTTCATCTTTAAGGAGCTGTTTCTGCTTTCAGTTATGTGTGTTTGGCCTTGCTGTGTTCCAGCAACGTGCCAGAACTTTGTGTGAAAGGATTGGTCTGGAAGAATGAAGACAGGGTATGGATAGCAATGGGCGCGATTCTACTTCACTTTATTTATGCATGCATGGCTTTTGTTTGGGAAAAAGAAACTAGAAGTTTGGTTATGTTTAAGTCTTTTGCCCTTTTAAAGAGGATTCTTAAAAAAAAATGGAAAGGTAGACCGTTTATAACATCATGCAAGGGAGTCTCTGTTTACCAGTGTGAAGAGCAGATTTTGTGCTGTAGTAGATTTTATACCAATTTAACATTATTTTTAGTAGTAATCTATTGTTACAATTTTATCTAACACATCAAAGCAATATTTATTTTGGGGTGCCAGTATAGCTGCTGGATATGATTTATGGCTGCATCAGCTGCCCCTTTGTTTTGTCCTGCCATTGTCAGTACTGCTTCTCCTGTCTGTCTTCTCCAGCCCCACAGGTCATTGTTTCTCTGGACTGGTCAACTTGGGGAAAGTTTGCACTGTGGATAGACAACAAGAGACAGTGCAGAACTCCAGGACTTTGTAATTCTGGTGCATATGAAAGTGTATGGCCTGCTCAAAAAAAAAAAAACCAACCTGATAGCAATTTTCTTCCCTCTACATTTTTAATTAAACTCTTCATTACCATTTTTGATAGCTTGTGCCTTATGTTTTATTATACATTCTTGAGTTAGCTCTGTGTTCTTGCTCAAGGGATACCTGAGCTCTGAGGTGATTAATTATCTATTTAAGCTGTCCCAGGCTGTTTGGAACTAGTGGGATGGCTCCAGAGTTCCCTGTGGCACTAGACCAAGGCACACACATCTTCTGGGTTTGTGTGGCTGCCAGCTGAGTAGCTTTGCATTGTCATGATGGAGAACAGCAATAAGAAGGCGGGTGAGAGTTGTGTAATCAGTAGGGGGTGGAGGATGCAGAAAAACTTACTTGTGAGTTCTCCCTCTCCCTCTCTACCCCCTCCCTCTCTTCACCCTTTTTTTTTTGAAACAGAGCTTATAAAGAGATAAATTGCAGTTTCTTCTAATATTAAAATGAGAATAAATAACTAGAGGAAAAGGAACTATAGATTTCTTAGAAATCAGCATAGACATTTTTATATATATCTTGACTAAGTGCAGCCAAAAGTACTTATGTTGCCTGCTATCCCCAGAACTCTTTTTTGGATTTTTTTTTTTTTTTCAGTTTTACATTTTGTAAAATGAATGTCAGTATATAATGGGGTTTGTATATTTTCCAAGAAGACAATGTTCTTTCCAAAGGTTTTGAGCTGCAATTTCAAGAGACACTGTCCTAAAACTCACACAGCAGTGCCACAGAAATCCAAAAACAAGAAAATAAAACCATCCAGTTTTGGAGTTGTTCTCACAAAATAGTTGCTGTAAGGCAAACCGTGGGAACAAGTTCTGGCAGCCAGGGACAGGATGGAGACTATGGACTGTGTTATTTTGATCAAAGGTAACCCTCTACCCATTGCACATCAGTTGACCTGAAACAAAAGGTCTTCTTAAAACAGCAATATCAATAGAGCTCAGAGCTCTCTGTGCTGGAGTCAATGGAATAATTAGAGACTCAGGTATGGAGCTGGAGGTAATTTATAGAGAAATGATGAACTGGCTCTTGTCAGGGGTAGACTCCTAGGTATTTATTGTGCTGTAACATCTACAGTGCTACCTGTGGAACAGGTCCCTTCTGTCTTGTGTTGCTTTGGCTTTGGAACGCAAAGCAGTGAAGTCTGAAGGACTTTCTGCGAGAAAGAGAAACTTGTGCTTTTAAGGCTTCTGTTACTAAAATGGATCTCAACAGTTTTTACCATGTGTGGCATGTGGGATGATGCTATGAATCAAGCTGATAGAATGACTACGACTTTGAAAAATTGCCTTACGTATGGCCTGCTGGTGGAATCTTGCTCAGATATTGAGACTAAAAGTGTTATGCAATTCCTCCTCCTTTGTGTAAGTGCCACAGAGCAGGGATAAGATGCAGCTACCTTTTTTGTGCAGAAAGCCAAGTGGAATGTTGTATGCACAAGTGAGGAGCTTCATTTGGGATGATGCGTTAAGTCTTGGAAGTTTACATGTCTTGTATCAAAAGATCCCGGTGCAAAACTAGTTTGTTTCTTCTTCCTGCTTAAATCCTACGGAATAAATTCGGTAATGATGTGGGATGTCTTTCAGGACAGCTGCTGTGCTGCTACCCTAGGCTATCTGTTGTGATCCTGGTAGTGTGTGGTGTATCCTGTGTGCTTCCTATGTTGCCTAGAATCTGTAACTTCCCAAAGAGCTGAAAAACAGACAGCAGATGAAAGCTGGAACTCCAGGAGTGTAGGAGGAAATAGAGTGATCTGGCTGCACCAAAAGCAGTCAGTTTCTTTTCAAAGATGTCTTAGGAAAAGCGATAAGCAAACCTTTTATGTTTGGTCTAGCTTAGGCTTCCTTTTCGCAATTGGCATTTGCTGTTTCGAGTAGGCCCAGGACTGGAATAGCAGGATTATTGCAGAATTGAATTGTACCAATGGAATTACGTAGTTTTCTCAATAACTAGTTAGTCTCTGCTCTGGCTTGAACGTGCACTTCTCTTGTCTTCATCACCTTGAACGTGCATTAGTCATTTGAAGGCTGTGGAAACTCTAATAACATAACTAATAACATGTAAGCCACTCCCTCCTCTTTATTTGTTTTTTTGACTAGTACAGGAAATAAAGGGTTCTTTTGTTTTTACAAATGAAGTAAACAGTGGAAAAGCTCTTTGTCTCTTTGTAGTCTGACATATGAACTCTGAGTTCCTTGAATACTTCAAGTGTCACTGTTCACTTTGTTATACAACACTGTAGTTATGGGATGAAAATGCAGAATAGTGGTGGTGACCCCTCACCCCCAGGACTTGAAAGCTGATCTTTTCTGCAAGTCTGTTCTAGTATCCTAAGCACTAGCACCTTTCTCTCATAAGGTGCTTTAATTGCCTTAATGTGCTTCCTCTCCTGGCTCCTGCTTACACAGAGACAGGAATAACGTCTGTGAGGCAGAAAGGAAACAGCATGGAATGGCATTCTCTCCCTGCAGAGTTTACATCCCACAGTGCTCCTGGCTCAAGCTGGCCTGAGGAATCTTAAACTGGATTAGTGTTGCTTTGGCAGGCCCTGATATTAATGCAAAGTAGAGTAGGTAGCTTGGAGTAGTGTTTGTGTTCATGATCCTGAGCAAAATGAGTGTTCTGGCTTTACTTCTACAGCTTCAAGAACCCAGGAGTGGTCCTTGACAGTGGTATTCCTTTCAGTCTTGCTGCCCAGGTAGTAGGGTGTAATCCGTGTGGTGTAGTTTGCCCTGCCTGTTGGTCTCCATAGCAGCTTGTTTGTTTTCCTGTATATGTGATCTAGTTTAGCTGGTTGTGTTGCCTGCAAGACCTATTCTGGGGTTTGGTGTTTGGGGAGATATATTTCACATGAGTATGTTTTGTTGTATAACCTTTGTTGTCTTTTACTGGATGGTTGTGAAAAACCCTACAGGTGCTTTGCATTGTTTGAAGTTCCCATAAGAATTTTTAAATTTCCATTTTAACTCTCTTGTGAGTTTTGTTTTACTTTTTTTCCCACCTAGTGTTTAGGGGGAGAGAGTCTGTAGCAATACTTGAACGTCATGACAAATTGTTGTGATCAGCCAAGCAGGTGGCTATGTTTATTTGTGTTTGTAGTGAGTGGGTATTTGTACTGCAGGCAGTACTTTTGTGAGGCAACCATTAGTGAATGACTGATAATCTCATCAGCAGGGAGAAGCTAGCCTTGCAGTGACCTGTGGCTGGATTTACTGTCATAATAGCTTCTAACTTGTGCTGCTAGCTCAGCCCCTCTTATACATGCAAATACATTTGTATTGAAGATGGTTTTTCTAAATCTGATGTAAAGTGGTTTATAGTTAACTGCTTTGTAATTGTCAGTAAGTCTTTCCCAGTTTTTCTCATCCCTGAGTAAGAGACAAATATTATAGTATTGAATTCCAGTAGATGAGGGGAACTTTGGCACTTGGTCAGCAACACAGGCTGAAGGAGATCCGGAATCGTGAGCCTGGAACATAGGCTAGGCCAAACTTTTATTCTTTTCCCCTGCATTTTGAACTAGTGCAATGAAAGCCTTATTCAAAGCACACACTGCCTATGATTATGCTTATCAGCTGTGTTCTTTATTTCCTTCCTCATAGCGTCCTCCAAATTTGTTACAGTAAAGGCTCCATTGAGGTTAGAAGTGGGGGGCTGAAGGTCACAGAGCTGCTATTCCTGCAGTAGTAACTGGTGGGCCCTCTGGCAGTAGCGTGGAGTCTCAAGGAGCTATACTTTTCCTCAGCTGTATGCCACTAGGCAGGAAATACTTGGCTCTTTTCACTGATGTGGGCTGCTTGGCTCTTCTGCACACGATTTCCAAGGAAGCTAGTCAAGGACTTTCCAGTCTCTGTCCTGTTCCTTGTTAGTAGACTCATAACAAAAAATCTCTCTAGTGAAATGGCTGCAGTGGAAGCATAGTAGTGTGAGACAGCACGATGGTGAACCTAGCTGGTTTTTACTATATGGAGCTTGGCCATAAAAGTAGCCCAAGCAAAACAAATTACATTTTGCCAGGGTACTGTAAAATAGGAACTGTCAAGAAGAGGGCAATAATTGCCATGCCTGTGAGGCTTAGGACTTGGTCAGCATGATGTGGCAGAAGATTGACCTTAGTAACTGTGCTGTTAGGAAATTTAGGAAGCCTGTGTGCCTCATGGTGCAGGTGAGGGAGCTGGGGAGCACAGCAATGTGTTCTGACCAAATCACTTCCTCAGCATCTCTGTCTTCAAGGCATAAAACCTGGCAGAACTGAGCACAGAGAAGCAGCTCACTGTGCTGTGTGTGTCACCTTCCTGTTGTAAATGCAATATGCTTCCACTCTTAACCCCTTATGCACTTACTGAGTGTGTGGTGGGGATTGCTGAGCTTTCATCAGGTGATGTTGGAAGAGTATTACTGATCTCCACTGAAGGATTCTCCTTTTCCTACAGCAGAATCTTGTGCAATCACTTAAGAGTAAGCTCTTCAGTCAGGACTGGCTACAATCCAAGTTCATGTCATCTGTACTTCCTTACTTCCCCCAGTCTTGGTTCAAATAAGGCAGAAATTTATTAAGTAGTTGGTGTGTTCTGCAGACCTGGCTTTTCCATTCACATGTCTAGACACGGCTATGGGTATTTATTTCTTTATAGGGCAAGTGCTGTTGTTTTTATGACTTAACTTAAAAATGGAAGATTGACAAAGGGAAGTTTTGCACAGAATTCCATGTGAAATCTTTGGAGTGTATGTGTGGAGAGCACACATAACTGGTGTTAATGTGGCATAACTCTCTGGTCTCTGTACTGACTTACTGCTTAATGAATGTGATCCTCCTTTCAAAACAATAGGTTTGCTGCTGGCTTTTGAAGCAAAGCCTTAAGCTTCTCTCCAGCATCTCTAGGATCAGTCCACTGGGATGTTGAAATAAGGTTCTCAGATACTTCTGCTCTGAGCTTCTGTATGGGCAACTAGGTCTGTCTGGTGACTCTGGCTTCCTGAGCCTTCCATACCTCTCACTGTTAGCATTTCTTTTTGCAGGTGTTTAGATGTTTTACATACTTTCTCTTCCTTTTTTAGGTTTGGAAGGCGTTTTGAATCCCCTCTTTTGTGGCAGAGCATTATCATGATCATTACAATGTTACTGATGCTGAAACTGTGCACTGAAATTCGTGTGTCCAATGAGCTGAACGTGAAACGCCGCTCTTTTGCAGGTCAGTGATGGGAATTGGCTTTTTTAGGATAAATATCTCTGAAAATATGGTGTGCTCTACTTTCAGTACAAAGTTCTGTGTTGCAGTCCAGTCTCCCCACTGTAGCACTTTCTGAACTTTTTTTTTAAACTGCTTATTTTCCAGGTAAAAGTGTACAGCTGAAATTTTATTTCAGACAGGTTTTGGTTCAGTCAGAAATCAGAGTTCTCCCTAATATTTCACACCACATTCTGAATATAGAGCTAGTTGTTATGTTACTGTGCTAGCCTGGATTTTTTAAAAGATCTTGGCTGGAGTAAGAAGCTGTTTTCTTCAGCTGTACTTTTTACCAAGTTATGATCTTATGCTGTTATCTAAATGTTGTAATTGCAAACATTTGCTTTTGTAGATAATAATTTTCTATTTACTTGAGTTATTGACCATCAAGAAACCAGGTGCTTCTTACCATGGTTGCAAAACTATCTTTTATTTTTGTGTACCATTTCCTTTGGCTTCAGTGTGAGATTAGTTGGGATTTATGGGAATTTTCTCATATTTTTTATTTTGGTTAATTTTGATAATTTCGGTTGGGACAGACTATTATTCTCTGTTTAATAAAATGTTCAGTCTTTGTACAAAGTCCTTACTTTTTTCGCTGCAGATAAGAAATGTGAGATTGGGTAGATTTTTGTTTCTCTGTGTTGACTTTGACTTACAACATTTTATGTAACAGCTTATTACCAACAAGAACAGAATTAACACTGTCAGCTTTCTGTCAGTTGTTTTGCCATTAAGGATGTATAATTTATTCTCTCCATCTGTTCTCTTCCACACTCCCTAGTAATTGAGGGTCTGATCCAATTCCAGATATCCACAGCCATCATTAGAAGGCAGCAGCTCCTGGCTGTGCAGTAGGGTAATTTATCTAATAGCTAAGGAGGCTACTTCCATTCCTGCTCATTGTGGAGTGTAGTGAGAAACTATTCAGGTAAGTGAATTCATGTGGAAGAGGAGCTGCTCTCCAGCTTCCAAACACAAGCTGCTGTGTTCACAGGGGTTTTCAGTCTGGCAGGATGAATGACTTAAAAACTGCCAGATTTAGCAGCAGGTAAAATCCAGGAAGCATTTGGGAGGGGCATGTGTGCTTTCTTCCTCTTCTGCTGTTTGTGCTAGCGTTTTGTGGTGACAGAGAGGTTTCTCTGTTTGCCCTTTCTGAGAGGAAATTGTTCTTGTGCACATTTACACACACACACTTGCAGGCTCCTTCAGTAACCTTTGGACAGAAAAGGGAGACTCTTCAGTTTAATATATAGTGCTCTTTAAGCAACTCTCCCTGAAAGACATACAGTCTCCTAAGGGGTAATCAGCCCTTCCCTTGACAGATGGTAGAACCTCTTTAAGGTTGCATTGTATTATATAAACCTTTTTCCTAAAACTCATTTTGTCATAGGGAATTTGCTAGAGAGATGGATTTTTACCTACTTGTGGTCCTTAATTATTTGTTTTCATAGAAAGGCTTGCGTCTTCCTACAGGCACTGAGAATACTTGGAATATCTTTCTTACATGGATTGATTTTTAGTAAGGACAACTGTATGATGGTTTAGAATAAACATTCAGGTGCATACAAAGCTCCTTTCAAGTTGGACAGAATGATAGGTTTCAAGCACAATACGAGTAGGAGTGAGAACTGTGTTTCTAATCAAACACCTAATCTTATCTTTAAAGTTTTATGGTGATCTAGGCAAGCTGATAAGTCCGTGTACTTACTTTCCTTCCTTATAGTTTGCTGGGGCAGTGAAGAGCTAGGTTTGAAGTCATTGTTTTTTGTTAACCTTGCAGAATCCTAAGGGAAGGTACAGCATTTCTGTATGATAATGTAATTGTTATTTCTCACATGGCTAGTATTCATTGTAAACGTTTTTCTTTTCTATCCTCCCTTTGAATGTTTCAGCAAAATAATCCAAAATATTTAGAAAGAATAGAATATTTCAGTGGAAGGGAGTTTGCTGTTTTCTTATATTATTTTTAAATGTGGTATTTCTTCCAAGTGGCAGAAGTATGTTTACCAGTGTGTTTTCAGTTATGTGGGAATTGCCTTTTTTCCTTTTGTTTTTATTTTCTCACAAATTAGGTCCCTTAAGTAATAACTAGTTCAGAAAGAATCTGCTTCCTATCTTGAAGCATTAAGAAGCAATCTCTTCAAATCCTGACAAGCTTGTTCTGTGTTCTTTATCATGTTTTCTGGTGTTACTGGCTTAAAATACCCAAAATGTCAATAGCTATTCAGAACATACAAAGCCATTCAGTCAATTTGCTTGTACTTTGAGTTGTAGGGTAACTATCATAGCATGAGAAATGCAGTCTCCCTAGATTTTCTAGTAATGTTTGATCTTTTTTCTTTTTATTTATTTTTAGACTCTATACATAGAGAACTTAAAAAGATTATGTGAATTTTCTTAAATTTTTTTCCCTTCTTACAGTTACTTCTAAATTATGGGATTTCCCCCACTCCCTTTTAGTATTGCAAAATGAAATTAAGTTGAAAGTGGTGCAACCCATCTTGTGCTGTTGCTGCCTTCTCTGATTTTTTGTTTTGGATGCAGAGACTTTATCCTTCCGTACATACCAATTGAAAACAGAGCAAATGCTGTTCATATATCCAACTGTTCTATTACTTTTTTTTTTAAACTTGGACTGTATAGCCTGTTTTTAACAAATCACGTTGAAAGGAGAAAGCCAGCACCCAAATTAGGCAAAATACAAAACTAACAAATACCCCAATTTGATTTTAAAACCTCCAGTGATAGGACAGTTCGCTCCCTTGCATGAGAATGCTTTGAAAACTACATGGGGTCCTCAGGTGAAATCAGCAGCCATGAACAATAGCTTCTTATTGTTTATTTTGTATTCAACCTCGCTGCATCTTAAGTGCTCTAATGCAGATCTTCTGGTACCATTGTTGAGGTAACAACAGTTTTCCATATTTGTTCCCAAGTTTTAAAGTTGTATCTGTGGAGCCATATGTATGCTGCATTGTTGGCACAGTACAGAAAGGGCCAGGCTTCTTGTTAATTTTGTTGTTGTTTTTGTTGAAAGTATTGTAATATTTTGGGGCATGATGGTGCTACCATCCTAAAGAGCTGAATATTGAAATACAAAATGTGGATGTGCTATGTCTTTACTCAAGAAACAAGAGGTGGCTGAAGCAAAATTGTGACAGGTACAGACAGCTGAAAACATCTGGTTACTTTTGGGAATGTTGGTGGGCTAGAGCAGTTTCTTCATATTCTTGGAGATACAGACACTCTCCCCAAATCAGCCTCCCACCTCTCTCCAGCAAACATTCTAGTAATGCCCAAGACGTTGTGACAGATTTTGACCCCCTTGAATATATGAACTATACTGAAAACCAGTGGACAATATTTATTGAAAGGAGATTCTTGGACATCTCTCTGTACTTGTGCAGCCTGAGCTCCACAAGAAGAACATGGGCTCCTGTGTTTTTACATTAAGATTATTTCCTCTTGTCATTCATCCAGTTTTGCTGGTTGACTTAATCTCCTTTGTAACTTGTATCTTATTATAGCACTCTGATCCTTTGAAGAGCTTTGGTTTTGGCACTGGAGAATTCTCTTGTGTAATATATGGGTTTCAACTGGCAGAGGAAGGTTAGAGTGGAAAAGGTTTAGCATGCAGCATTGTTGCAGATGAGGTCTGTTCTCTCTTCTTCTTGTTGGGCTTTGTGACAGTATTTTTGAATAGCATTTTCCACCAGAGGCAAGGTAACTACTGTCTCAGCTGTTAATACATACATATCCACACACCCTGTGTTGCTGAGGTAACAGGTTGTTTTCTCTGATCACGAAAAGTTAGAATTTATGTAGTCTAAAAGTAAGAATCAAGCTGCCTGTTTAATTGTTTTTTAAGCCTTTATTTTCCCCTGATACGTACACTGCATGCTGGGTTGTGCACTGAGACTGTTCAGGGACTTCCTGCTGCTCAGTCCTATCTTAGCATTGTGGGGTGGGAGCTTTATAGAAAGCATGGGGACTAAAATTTCTGGCATGTTTTGGTCTGGCTATTATTTTTTAATGAATAAAATGTACTAACTGACTAAACTGTAGCTCAAATAAACACTGTTGCATTTAATCATAAAAGTCTGTTTGTCTTTCCTTTCTTTTTTTTTTCCCTTCAACTCTTTTTTTTATGTAGCTGCAGATAGTAAGGATGAAGAAATCAAAGCACCTCCCAAGAGATCCTATCTGGGTATGTACTGTACAAACCCGTTCTGCCTGAAGTTGTCCCCTTAACCATATATTTCATGATTTGCTACTTTTTGTGATCATTTTGGGCAATGATTGCATGATCATTTCTATAGAGAATGTTTGCATTACCTTTTCTTGACATACTAAAACCTGGTGTCTGGTTTTTAATTTTTTTTTAAATTTTTCACCTGCCCACTTTTAACTTTCATGGAAAAGAGGAAAAGATGCTTTCAGCTCTATTTCAGAAACCAATTCTTTGAAGGCAGTTGAATTGACTACATTGTGTGTCTTCCTTACTCCTTCCCCAAGCTGGACAAACAAAACAGTGATTCATTTCTTCAGACTCAGTTGGCATTTTTTCAGCTCTAATGCTGAGGAAACTATGAAATATACAGCAGTATCTTTCAGCAGATATTTCACTTTGATATTCAGGCAAAGTGCCTGCATCCTTGTGAATATTCCTCTCTTTTTTATTATAGAGCAGCCTCAAAATTGCTGTTTGGGAATTAGTAATGCCCAAGGTGAGAGCTTCCAATCTTCAGTTTCAGAGTTGGAATCTATGTTGTTTAATTTACCTAAGGAATAAGAAATATTAGGTGCAAACTAGCCTTGCAGTACTTTTTCCACTCTTTAATAGTTTGGAATGCCAGTTTTAGTCAAATAATTGTAGTTTTGTTTTAAATTAGCTGGGGTATTGCATCAGAGAAGTTATGCTGGCACAGAAGTTCCCCAAAATCAACTTTTAGTATATTTTTAACTGAACTGATTCAGAATCTTCTGTTGATACCACCTGTGTTCTGTTGCAGTTCTTGAGTTAATGAAGGATCAACTCAACTGGCAATATCCAGGGCACAGAGGAACATTACTGTGGCAAAAGGAGAGTCTCTGTATTTCTCAACACACAGTTAATCAAGCTGGAGTTAGCTCTAAGAAACTGCCCAAGAGTGGTATTAACCTGAGTGCTTTCTTGAAGCCATAAGGCCATTCCTGCTTAGTTTAAATAAGACTCTCTTTTAATGATTCATCTTCTGGATCTCCCCTTTCAGATTTAGGGGCAAAATTCATGCTTTGGGAAATTTATCAGGTTTTTTTGTCTGATACCAGTATTTTTGCAAAGCACCTTTTCCTTTTGTATTTTCAAAACATTATTTTTTCTGGATTTGGTATCAAACTGTTTCTGTTTGTCTTTAACTCTGGTTTGTGTGGTCATTCTCACTGGCTTGCAACACTAACCATTGGAATGTAATGTTTAAGCAGTTCTGTCTTCCATGTGCCTGTATTCCTGATGTCTTTTACTAGTTTCTAGCAATGCTTTATTTACAGTCTCAGAGCTATAAACAGTTGCCAGCTTCAAGTGGTTAAAATTAAACAGAAATAAGTAACTTAATGTGACCTTTTACTTATTTCAATCAGTTTTTTTTCCTTGTCTTTTTGGTTAAAAAGTCATTTGTTGGTAGCTTGATAGCTTAAAAAGATGTAGAATAAAGCACCACACATCTTAATCCAGCTGGTCTAAGTCTGAAACATTTGGTTAATAGGTATTACTTGAGGTTTGTTTTGGAGTTGCTTAGCAAAATGGAATGAATTGAATTATCGGTAAGGAACAAGACAGCCTTACACTACTGCTCTGAACTTTAAAGACTGGGTGGGCAAGTTAGAAATATGATAATTCTCACTGCTATAAAGAAATTAGAAATGTTTTGAGCTGTTTGTGTATAATGTGCATACAAAAGTATGTGCTGGTGGTATGAAGAGTGGGGTGCACAGTGCTGTGTGTCACAGCATATGTCATACTCAATTGACATAGGGCTTAACTGAGCTGTGCCCTGCAGTGCTGTGTTTTGCTACAGCTCTGGGGAAGCTCACTTAGAGATTAGCTGAGGGGAATATTGACCATCCTTTGAGGTGCTTGTGCATTCTCATGTCCTTTAATGAGTTTTAATTAAAACTTCTGCTCAAGAAGAACATATTGTTTTTTAATTTCCTTTGCATAGTTGGGTGGTGTAAAAATTTTTTCAATGTATTTTTAGGCTTCAGAAATTATTATAGTACTTTCTTTTTCTGGTCATGTAGTAAATTACTGTAAATGAAGATGTAGTAAATTCTGTCTGTAAATTATGATCTGTGAAAACTATTTAGTTACAGAGCTGTTGAACAATTAGTCAGAAAATGTACTGGGCTACCAATGAATTTTAGGTGAACTTGTTAGATAAATACAGAGGCATTTGTTTGGTGCTTCTCCTTGAATAGAACTGAAGAGCTCCCTGAGATTACTTTAGGATTTGGTTTATTGTTGGTAGTTCAAGAAACCACTTAATGCCACTGTTTTTCCACATGTTATCTGACAAAGTCTTTATCTCTGTCACATGACTCTGAAAAGTGACTTTCTGTCAGTCAGTACTGAGAGAGAGTTGAGGGTGTGGGGGAAGGTTACTGCAGTTTGAGTAACCTAAAAAAAGTTACAGTAAGGTTGGCCCCAGGGTTTTCTGATTCCATACAGAAATAAAATTATTTTCCTTTTTTTTCTTGGTGAAGGAAAGATTAAAAAGAAGTAGCTCCCGTTCTGAAGGATTAATGCTTTATTTTCTTTGTTTTCTAATTCAGATACCTAGTTCTACCTAGTGCCTGGTAGCATGGCAATTGCTGAGACTGAGCAAGGTGCAGTTGAGTAGAAATTTGGGTTTTTGCTTGTTCCTTGTTTCATGATGAGATGATTTAGAACAAATGTGAATAAGTGTATTAATCTGTTTTGCTAAAATATAAATTCCATTTTGTGCCCTGTGAGTGTCGGAGACTGTTGGGGTAACAAAATCACTGAAGAAGTAACAAAACACGACCATAGTTCGTAAGAGGCTGTATTGTTTAAAGTTGTTCAGAGTGGTTTCAGTGTGTGGCAGGTGAGCTTCAACGTGGATGGGACTTGCTGGATTTTTTTTCCTTCTAAGTAGATGGTTAAGCATTTGGAAAGACATTTCTGGGATTTCCTTCTCTGTCTGAAGATGGTTTTATCATTTGCTGTATTACAGAATCCTGAACCTTGGTTTTAACTCAAAAAAACCTCATCTGATTTGATGAGTGTGATTTCACTAAATTTTAAAATGCGAATAATAAGAATTAGTGGTAATGGAACAGCAAAAACTTAGATTAATGGAATACCTGTTGCAAAGTATTTGAAACTACTGAACATTTTTTATGGGGGGAAAATGTAAAATGTATGTATAGTTAACTTTGCAGACTTATAGCTGCATAGTAATGAGGAGAAAAGAGTAATGTGAATTGAGCAGGTGCAGGCATCTGCTGCAAGTTTCCACTGGCAGTGTGATAGCCTGACTCACACTTCCACTTCTCCTTTCGTCCGTGCTCCTTAGTTAGCTCAGGGCAGCAATTGGCTTGTGTTGTTCAACAGCACCACCACAGCGTTGACATATTTGAGAACAGCACTACTGCATTACATGTGCCATGAAGGATGTAAACTTTATTTAATCAGCTCTCTGACTTCTTCTGTTCACTGTTAGGTCTGTTTGGGCATCCTGCACAGCTTGTGGATGAGCACTGTGTTTTTCCAGGGGTGCTCTGTAAGTCACATGCACAATGTGCTTCTCTGTCCAGCCCTAACACCCTGAGCAGAGCTGGGGACACAGCAGAGGCACAGCTTTCCTTGCTGGTTGTGGGGAGCACCTGGGTTTCATTGGAAGTGCTTGACTTCTGCACTATGCTGCCCGGTTGAATTCCCTGTACAGCTGGAACAATGAGAGCAGAGTTGTTGCTGAGGTGTCACCACCTCTGTCTGTGCATAACTGAACATGGAAATGCTCTTGGAAGGATTTTGATCCCTCCTCCCCGAGATTGTATGTATCCTCATTAGACTAATTTCAGAGTGCTTTTGTTAGTATTTTGGGGAGGATGTTCAGGAGAAGGGATTGCAATGACATGTCTGTGAGAAAACAGGATGCCAAAAGGATTTTTTTTTGCTTGTTTTGCTTTGTTTCATTTTGTGGTTTGTTCGTTTTTAAATTTTTTTTAAAAGGATTAAAAATATTAATGGAGTTCTAGTTGTTGAAGAATTCAGGTCTACTTTGCCTGAGAAAATGGCACCTGTCTGCATTAACACTTAGGTTGTAATTCCTTATATGATGGGAACAGTTATTTCCCCATGTCTTTCTCTGCATCAATTTGTAGACCTTTTAGGAGATAAAAGAGAGTAAGAAATGGAGATTATAAACACATAGGGGCAATTTAAAATTTTTTTTAAGTAAATACTTAAATGGTAAACATTGGTGTCTTTTTAATACATAATTTTGGTTTATTTTTAGTTGATGTTGCAAAAGAGACCAACACAAGTCTGGAAAGTAATTTGTCTTTACAGATATGAGTTTGTGCTGGAGGTCTAAGTTATTCAAGCATTTCAGAATAATTCAGTCCAAATAGAACCCTTGATTTTTAAAAAATATTGTTTGCATACTGAACAGATTGAACAGAACTTTTTTTTTTTATTAAACTATAGACAGAGAGGGAATAGTTTAATTTAAAAATTTGTTCCTTTATTTTCATAGGGAATTCATCCTGAACCATTGCAAGTTCAACACTGAAATAATTTTCTTTCAGAAACCGTGAGGAAAATGGGTTTGGATCAGTCTGTTTTCTGGAACCAATTTTATGTTTCCCAGTAGATACTCTCTTTCAGGCTTTGAAGTTCCATTCAGTGTAAATCTTTCTTCAGCCCCTTAGGCTAATGGGCCTCAAAATAAAAATTCTGTGGCCTTTTATGTCCTGTTGAGAATGTTGAAAGTGGTTCAGTAGGAGGGCATGCCTTTTTTGCAGGCTTATCTGGTATTATTCAGAAGGTATAAGAGGGAAGGATAAGTTTAAATTCTGTATTCCAGAGAGACTTTTTCCTTTCAGAAAAGACAGCTGGAAAGGGAGAGACCCAAAGAAGGATTTTTGAGCCCTCTGAGCAACTATGATCCCTGCCTCTGGCAGTTTGCAGTTTCCTTAAGGTGA